AATCCATTCACTGATGTTGACAAGCTATTTCAGGAAAGTGAGCAATGATGCCAACAGCCCTGCTAGATACCTTGGATCAGCTGAGCTGCAGAGCTGATCTTAATTGCCAGTAGCTTTAATTCAGGAAGCCCCCAGTACAAGAGGTTGTTGGTTCCATTAATTCCACCTGTTGTGTTGCAAGGGGTAGAATTAATGGAACAAGTATAATCATAAAGCACTAAACAGCAATAAGAAGCAGACATGATTTCTAGCCCATTCATTGCCCAAAAGAGAAATTGATGTAACTATGGAAATGCCAGAGAGAGGCTGCTTGAAAAGCATGGTATAGATTAGAAGAAGCAATAGTCATAGCTCCCTTTTATATTTTGGGTAGTTTCTTGCTTCTTGCTTGCTTCATTTAGTTCAGGGATATGCAGCTTGACGCAACATGCAGCCTCGGAATTCCACAACAAGTTGAATCCAGATTGTAATTTAAAACTGAGAATAGGAAGATATGCAAAAGATATAGTCACATGCAAAAGTGTAAGTATCACTAGTCCAACTGTATGCTTCAGTGAATCCTTAAGTGAGTAGAAAGTACACAACCTCTAAGTTGGATGCTTTAGTTACTCACTAATGAAGGTGAATATACATGTCCCAGGATAATGCTGCAGGATCCAATGTGGGTCGGTCACTGGGACCAGAGATTTAGTCTTCTGCGCATTCAGGCTCGTGCTGAGCCCATCTTCAAGGAATTTCTCTCCAGCCAGATTGGATCCTGCAGCTTTAGATACTACTGACCACTTGCTATATATGATAGCAGGTCGACAGAAATTTCTTTCTTCCTCTCCGCCAGGTAAAGCTTACACAAAATGGAGGTGGAGGATGAAGGAAGAGACCTGGACATTACTTCAAGTGCCTACCTGGTAGTTTAACCCTGAGAAGGTTGCTCCTGTACAGATACACCTCTGATGGAACATATCTTTTTCCCCTAATAGATCTTGAGAACAGAGAATGCAACATGACCGTACCTGCTGAAAAGACCAGAGTGGAAAGCGTGGAACTCATTTTACCCCCACATGCCAACCATCAGGGAAACACGTTTGGTGGGCAGATCATGGCGTGGATGGAAAACGTGGCCACAATAGCGGCAAGGTGGGTGCTTGCATCTTGTTGAGGGGTCTTATTTTGGGGGAAACATGGTATCAGTTTGCTAGATTTGATGTCCTGCTGACTGCCAAGTTGAGTGAATGTGTAAACAGGAATGAGAGAATCAGTACAGGGTTTAAGAAGGCAGATGGAACTATAATCTGGATGAGATTAGGTTATTCTGATCCCAGAGAGGGCCATGAGCCATGATAGAAATCTGGGACAGATTTCAGAGTTATGACACATAACTTTTGCTTGGAGATAATCTCTCCACAGTCTGATTGTTGAGATAATAAATGATATCATTGGATTTTTGGACTCTGACTTAATATTGTAAAGATTTTCTAAAATCAATAGGTAGTATTAGAATACTTTTTCTCAATTTCTAGATTTGTCAGGAAGCATGAAAATGGGGGGAAAGTATTGGACCTAAATCAATTCTTGATTGGCCAGTTGTTGTTGTTTTATTATTGTTGTTGTCGTTGCTGCTGCTGCTGCTGTTATTTTGTTATTGGGTTTTTTGATCCTATACATCCTCTATTTTTGCTTCAGTAGTAATAAGGGATTCTTTTTCCTAATTGGATAAAAACAAGAATTGGGAGGAAGTGTATATTTGTCTGTAATTTGAAAAATAAAAACTGCAACCATGAAGGGAATTTACTGGCCAGTCATTGGAAAAAAGTTAGGAGGCAAGGCAAAACCAGCCTCCATGCAAGTTTGAAAAGGGGATGACATGGTCCAGTTGCCTGAGCTGCTATACTAATTTGTCTACCTACTCTTATGTTTTGGATATCAATATTTTAAACATGTTAACTCCTTTCTAAGGTTTGCAGATGTAATTCCTTATACCATTCAAATAAATCCACATTTAAGGTCACATTTGAAAGTTCCCTTAGGTTTACCGGCAGTGGATCTGGTGGAGTTGTTCAGCATTTTCCTACACCTGATTTAATTTAACTGTGGAGGTAACAATAGTAGTATGCTCTAATCCATAGTGTAACTTGAATGTATTTGTTTGGTTTTCACTTCCCCTCCTTTTGTTTGGCGCTTAACCATGCCCCTGGAATTGCAGTTCTGCTCTCTTCTATTTCTGCAGTTTTTTTGAAGCTAATGAAGGCAAGAGGTTAATTCCCAAGGATAATGGCGATGCACCTTTGTGATTTGGCTATTAGATTTTCCTTAGTTGTTATTAGATCAAGGCAGAGATATTTTTAAGTGTGATCCTGCTAACTAGAGATACATTGGAATTTTATTGGGACAGCAGGAAACATCCCCTCTCGAGAGATGCTGATTTTTCTACTTCCAAAGCTAATTTTTGTCCTTCTTGTGATTGAAAGTAGAAGCTACCACAGCCCAGCTGCTATAGAAATTCACTCCCTTCCACACTGACTAACTTACCTCTTAGCATGCATTCTTCTTTATTCCCTTTTTCCTGAACCTCTGAAGCTGCCAGATTGTCTTTCATTTTGTATTAGCGACGAGCTAGCTGTTTTCCTTTAGGTGGCACTGTGTCTCCATTAATTCTGGGAATTTGGATGGTCATTATGTGGAAAAGAAGGAAAAGGGAAATTCAGTCTGTCCTTTGCTGCTTTCCCATGTTCTCTTATTGCTGGGACACCCGGGGGTCCTCTTGAACTGGCAAATAGCCTTTCTGTCAATAGGCCAGTGGAAATCCAGCTCGGGCATAGTTTGGCACTTGTAGTATAACAGTAAACTTGGGTTATTTCGTAACTTCTATCTGATCTGTTGCTGATTGGCAAACAGTACATGCATTACAGGTAACGGATGATGTTTTTTTAATGTGATCAAACTAGATTCTGTTTTTCTGTGTTCTTCTAGCCGATTGTGCAATGCCTATCCCACCCTGAAGACCATTGAAATGTTCCATTTCAGGGGACCATCCCAAATTGGGGACCGCCTTCTGTTCAAGGCCATTGTTAACAATGCATTTAAGTACAGGTATGTCTTCCCGCCATCCTTCTAGAGCTAACTGGATTTGGTCCGGAAGTCAGTAGAAATTTTATGGAGTCGTATAAATTAAACCATTTCATGATCTACTCTAATGAATGAAAAAACAATGAAGAGGAAGGTTGAAAGAGGGTTGTAAGAAATGGGGCATTTATTCCCCCCCACTTACTCTTATTAGCTACAACTCCAGGCAATCCCAATATAGAACATTGTAGTTTGCCAATATCCGGAAAGCCGCAAGCCATTTTATTTCATTAATGGATAACTTCTAAAATCTGCTGACTTGACTTCATTAAAATAAATAAAGAGATAAGCACATAAATAAGCACATAAAAGATATAATAAGACATCATGTCTTCTTTAGAAAGTGTTTTGAAATTAATTCAAAGAAATGGTTAATCAAAATGGGCTAGAATTCATTCCAACTGGTCATAATATCGTTCCCAGTGTGATCTCGGCAGATTTGTGCGTTCATTTACTTGTTTGCTCATTTTAAAATGTTGTTCTTGATTACAGCATGGAGGTTGGGGTGTGTGTCGAGGCCTATCGACATGAAATGGAAGTCAGCCGAAGACATATAAATAGTGCTTTCATGATTTTTGTGGTCCTCAATGAAGATGGTCAGCCACGTACACTTCCAATGCTGAAGCCAGAACCAGGGGTAAGGAAATGAAAATGACGTTGCACAGCTTTGACATTACACTGGTAGCCCAGAATGGTATATGACTGAAGGACATTTGCAGTGCAAATCCAATTTCCAGTTTGGGAACCACCTTAAAAAAACCATGATGCACATGGAGAAAAAGGAATGAGAATTGTGACTTAAAGTAGGAATGCACATTCTCTACCCCAAGTTTTGGATGGGGGCACAGAACTCTCTTAAAATAAAAGATGTCATTGAACTGTGACTTTAATATGATAGAAAGGACAACTATTCGACACAGGTAGTCCTCAACTTACAGCAGTTCATTTAGTGACTGTTCAAAGTTATAAAAACACTGAAAAACATGTGACTTATGAGTATTTTTCACACTTATGACCATTTCAGCATTTCCATGGTCAATTCAGAGGTTTGGCAACTGAATCATATTTATGATGGTTGCAGTATTCTGGGGTCATATGATCACTTTTGCAATCTTCTGCCAAGTAAGTCGATGGGAAAGCCGGATTCACTTAACAACCATGTTACTAACTTAACAACCACAGTGATTCACTTAACAACTGTGGCAAGAAAAGTTGTAAAGTGGGGCAAAACTCACATAATAAATGTCTCACTTAGCAACAGAATTGTAGTCAAAAGTCTGGAACTACCTATATATGAAGTATTTAACTATATTTAATTATTTTTGTTGCACTTGTTTGGTGAAATGTAGTTCTTGCCATGGTACTTGAAGACTAAGAGTAGCTTGTGCCCTAAGAAGATTTAAATATTACTAAGCTAAAGTTTCAGTTGCATAGTAGACATGCAATCCTAGATCTTCTTCTATTTCTAGATTTAGATTTAAAACAAGCTGTTATTTCAACATGTTAGTCCTAAATGTGGTTGGCTGGTACTTTTGCTCACTCAGTGTGCAAATCCAGGCAGTTTAGTTAATTTGAGAACCCATAGCTAAATTAAGCTGAATCACAGCCTATATATCATATGTTTTTCCTTTGTTATTATTTTGCTTTGCACAAAAGTGAATATATAGAGAGAGTTGATGCTGTAGGTGGGACATAGTGAGATGAATCTAACTAAATGTGGAAAATATAGCAATAAATGTCCCATGCAGAAGCAGCCTTGATTAGCTAGTAGGATATTTTTTTTACGTATGGCTGTGTTTTTTCCTTTGGAGTCTTCCACTGTTGGCTGTATTTGTTATCTGTCAAGAATTGTCTTCCCCAAGGCAAGCATGCTCTAGTCTGCCTCCAGTAGGATGGCTGTATTTGCAATGTTCACTTGGAAGCAATGTTGCATAGTAGAAAGGTATTTGCAGAATTGGGAAGACCAATTGTGAAGAATTTACTAAAAAAAAAAAAAGATATAAAGACTGAAAGGGA